GCCCAGTGGGCCCGCGCCCAGAATACTTGTACCCATTAGATCAGCCTGGTACCCACCGTCCTAGCATATCCTTTTGCCCGCGCGCGTCCGTCCCGAGTGCCCATACATATACCGTGCCCTCCCTCGCCTGTTCGCAGCGCCCCTCGCGCCCAGAGCCTCAGCGGCGCCACCTACCTGTGTGCCAGCGCTTGCTAGCACCCGCGCGCCTGAGAAGACCCGTGCCAGCACTTGCCCAGCAGCCCGACAGGCAAATTTTCTTTATATGGGCGAATTTTTTTCATTAAATGTATGTGTTTGAGGTGAGGTTATAAATAGACTTGGTGCTTTATATTTTTGGAAGAATTTGTCATTTGTAAGATTTTTCTTCTACTCTTCTCTCTCTCCCTCTCTCTACTTTTCTTTCTCTCTCTAAAGGCTTCTAGATCAAATTTTATTGCAATATTTCTCCATCATGATTGCAACTTTCTGAATTATTTGTTCTCATGGATGCACTAGAGTCTTCGAGACTTAGTTTAATGTCCAAGATCTCGTAAGTTTTTTTCTTGTTAGGCTTTTCTAGGGTAGAGATTGGAGCTTTCATGAGTAGAATATGCATTCATCCTTGTAGGCTAGAGTTTATGTGATTTGTTGATTGTGTGAGCGAGAATTGATTGAAAGCTCAACTAGTTGATTCGCGAGTGACGATTGCTTGATTTCATATACTCGAACCTATGAGTGCATTCTTTCCATCTAGGGTCTTAAGGTACCTCATTCTTTTTCTCTATTTCAGCCTTTTTGTTGCAATTTGATGTCTTTCTTGCATGAAAGTTCGAATCTGCTAGTTAAAGTTTGCTTCTTGCTTTGATTTTAGTGTAAAGTTGTGACTTTTAGTTTAACCCAATCACCAAATCGCGAGCAGAGTGTTTGAGACTTTCTTTCTCTTTTTTGTATTAATCAATCGTGGCTTGAATCCTGCCCGGACAACCTTCATAGAGAGACACGACCAGAGGTCAGATTTATTCCATACTCATCTAAAAACTACAAAAATAAAAATAAAAATAATGGCGCAGTTGTCGGGGAAGGCGAGTAGGACATTGGATTTAGACAATTGGTTGGCTTATTTTCCGCATTGCTCTTGATTTTTGTGAAATTTCTTAATTTTGCATGTTTCTCTTGATTATTTTCTTGTTTTCTAATCCTCTTGCTTTTTGGTGTTTGTGTTTTGTGAATATTTCAGTGTTTTTCTTGCATTTACTTTGTTTTCGTCTTGGTCTCGTGTGTATTTGGGTTGTTTTCTTATTCTTGTGAGAGGTAATTCGCTTGAGGAGTTCAGATAAACCCATATGACATTCTTGTGTCGGAAGCTCGTCTCATGGATACCTCGATAATTACCAAGAAGACATGTACACACCATATAAAGAGCCGCCCTGTTTGCACTCTTATATGGATACTCTACATCCCCAGTGTATGGTCCGAGCCATTCTTACAGGACATCTCAAGGTGAATATACTGATGACATTCTGGGTCACGGAAAGAGGACATATTACAATCCTCCACCTCTGGATTACTACTATCCTTTGCCTCCCGATTATTTTTTCAGCAAATCCATCTGAGCTGCCTCAAGAAGCTTCCCCAAGCCATCTATACAAGTTATGGAGAAATTAGAGAAATGAAATCAATCTCTTCGCGTTTCAATGGGTCCCATGTTGGAAAGAAGAAACTGAGTCTTATACTCCATCCTCTCCATCATACGAGCACCAAGAGGTTTATTATTGTCCCATTTTTGTTGCAATTTTATCACAATATGGAGAATGGTTGAAGGCCATGGAAACTATCCATGGGGGCAGAAGTAGCAATTCTATTAGCTTTGGCGGGAAGTAATATGAGAGCTGGAAACTCAAAGTGATTGGAAAGGTAACACATTTCATATGGAGGTGCTTCTCAAAAATCTTACCAGTCAGTTGAAACATCAAGAAGAGAGGGATGCAAGTGGAGACTGTATGCAATGTCTGTGGGGAGTTTGTGGAAACACTAATGCATGCTCTTTTCCATTGTTCAAAAGCTCAATTAACATGGAAACTATCACCTGTGCACTGGAACAAAATTCAGAAGGAATAGATAACTTTCAAAGAATGGTGGTGGTGGCTGAGTTCTATGAATTTGAAGGAAACCAAAGCGGACAAAATCCAATTATCAACATACATATTATGGTGGCTATGGAAGGCGAGAAATCTGTGGTTTTTTTAGAGAAAGTAGCAGACTGAGGGCTGGATTACAGAATGGCAACACAAGATTGGATGAACTCTAAAGACAGGTAGGTGGCAACCAAGATTGAAGCAGGAGGGAGTATACTAGGTCTCGTGTCAGTGATGTACTTCTTTTTTGATATTTACCGTGACATCTGTAGTGTGCTGTTGTAGGGTGTGTATTATGCTTGTGTTTGGGTTGCTTTTGACTTGTTCTAGTTTGGGTTGTTTGTGTTGGTGTCGTCTAGATTGCATGGTGTGGTTGCAACCTCTCATTTATTCATGATTGAGATTAACCCATATACAATTGCCTTATGGCTTTTTTATTGGAGTTTTATTGTCGTTTGAAAAGAAAAAAAGGTTTCTCTCAAAATATTTAGATAATTGTATACATAATAAATAACATACTTAAAAAGAGTTACACTTGTAAAGAAAACACTACAAAAGATGAATAAAAAAAACTAAAATTAAAATATATAAATAATAAATACTTATTTAAAATTCATAATAAATTTAAATTAATAATATTATTTATTTATTAAATAATATACTAACAATCCTTATATTTTATATTTTTTGATAATTTTTTAAAAATATTTATAATGATTTACTCTTTCGGCCTCTTAAATGTAAATCAATTTAATGATTTATAAAACCTAGTATTTAGTTTAATTGTTAGATTTTTAATGTTGATATTTTACTTTTTTTAATCACATATTCTTAAAGGGAGAGAAGTTCTGATAAAGGCAGTGATCAGTGTCATTCCTATTTTCACCATGGCTTGCTTTAAGCTCCCCAGTGCTATCATCAAAGAGATTTCCAAACTATGTGCATCATTTTGGTGGAGCAAAGGAAAAATCAGGATAAGGGGCAGCATTGGAGATCTTGGGAAAAACTTACTATCTCTAAAGCTGAAGGGGGTCTGGGATTTCTTGATGTGAAGCTGCTTAATGAAGCCCTCCTTTGCAAGCAGCTATGGAGAATCACTTCCTAGCCAGACCTCTTAGTCAGCAAAGTTCTTAAAAGCAGATACTTCCCCAACTCCTCCATCTTTGAAGAAGGGAAAAACCAAAACAGTTTCTGGCTTTGGAACCGCTGGCTGGCAGTTTTACCCACTTTCTCAAAGGGGTTCAAAATCCAAGTGAGAAATGGGGAATCTACAAAGATTTCTGATGTTAATTGGATCCCATCATTAAAATATTCAAAGCCAACCATGATAGAGCTAGCCAGAGGCCATCTGATATGGGTGAAGGAGTTAATCCTCAATAATGGCAGAAGTTGGAATGAATGGCTCATCACTTAGATTTTCAATGAAGAGGAAAGCTCAGCAATCCTCAAAATCAAATCCCTAAACCCAGCTAAAGTTGAAAAAATGTATTGAGGTCTTGAAAAAAGGGGCACTTTTCAGTTTCATCCACCTACTCACATGTCAGCAACATCAAACTGCTGAAGATGGACATCCCTCAAGGTAGCAGCACCAAGATGGAGAGTTCAAATGCCAGAATTAGAACCTGGAAACTTCAGGTGAGCCCCAAACTCAAACATTTCCTATGGAAATATTGCACTGATACTCTTCTTATTAAAGCAAATCTTCTGAAGAAAGGTATGAATCTTGATCACATCTGCCTTTTCTGTGGTGAGGCTCCTGAAACAGTGTGTCACTTATTGTTTCATTGTCCTAATGCTAAAGCCTTATGGAGCATTAGCCCAGTCTCTTGGGATGGCATTTGTTCTCAGAATGTTATCTTCTGTCAGTGGTGGGATCAAATTTGTGCAGTGAAGAAAGTTGAAATAGTCGAAGACCGCATTCAACTCTCTACTTACCTATTGTGGTGGCAATGGAAGTCCAGAAACTTGTGGATTTTCCAAGGCAAACACCTCCCTGCTAGATTTGCTGTGAAGGCTGCCCTTGATGATTGGCTGAGCTTCAAGTCTGTGAAACATTAGTAGTTGGCTTTTCTGTTTTCCCTTTGTTTTTCTAAGTTGCTTCTTTTTGCTGATTTTGTCTTGTGTTATTTGTTATCTAGATTTGGCAATCAGACTAGGCATCTGCAGTGGAAGGATTGACAATTCTTGTGATTTTTCTGTTTAGGTTCTATTGATATCTCGTCTGTGGGATATTTCTAGGCCGCTTTATAGCGAGTCCTCTCTGTTTTTCTTTTCGGCTGTTGGTCGCGTATGTATTCAAACCTTGTTCTCTTGGAGTTGTTATATAATCTTCCTTTCGTTTCGAAAGAAAATAGCTCTCATAAAAAATGGTATGCAATATGCTTTAAAGATTCAATTTAAATCAAATTTTCAAAAAAATAATTTTTTTTATAAGTTATAGTTGTTAATTTAAATTATAAATACATGAAATCTCATTTTTATTGTTTAATTTTTTTAAAGTTCAAGGGTGATACAGATTTTAAGTTTGTAAAAACTTAATAGCACACATATCAATATCTATATTCATAAAAAAAAATTATTTGAAATGAGTGTTTCGACGTAAACTACAAACTTGAAATTCGACATTTAAAATCGAGCTCCCCTGAGTGAAATTTCTAGATCCATCACTTCTTGTATTATGTGAACAATATATGCCCATTTGAGAAATAGAATAAAGGACAAGAAAAAAAAAAAGGATGCGTATGGCATATCTATGGTTCCCTTGTTACTATTTGACTTTTTTTATTTTTTTCCTAACAGAAAAGGTAAAAAACTCGTAAAAAGTATATGTATGCAAAGAAGAGAGGAGACACTCTTCCTGATATATGGCTTCTTGGGCATCTTTATCTAAATATTAAAAAAACTTGGTATGCCACTAGATTGCTCCTTGTCACCAAGTCGATTTGCAAAAGTATCGGCAAAAGCAGCTGGTGATGCCCATGCTAGTATTCTCACTGCACTACCTTTTCCCTTAATAGTATTAATCATCTGTCCATCGGTACATTCGTCGCCTGTGGCCAATACTTTAATGTTCTTCTCCAAATACATTGTCCTTATTGGAAACAAAACGTTTCCAGCTAAGACTACCGATCCTAGAATTTCCCCATAGAACATATCCTGTGCATGTTTTACAATTCAAAAAAATAAAGATCAAAATGAAGAAGACAGACTCAATCAATAACCAACACAATCAACACCGGTCCTTACCACATGACGGTAGATACTATGAGCTCTTTTCAAGGTAACCAATGTGGAAAGCAAATCCCTGGCGAAAGCAGCCTCTGGAGTGCCCTGTGTCTCGAGAGCTGAAAGGGCCCAACTATAGTACCCAGTTACCATGCGCTGGACGTTGAGCGGGATGAGAGTGATGTTGAGGCTCGCCTCGAAAACTATCTTTGCGGCCAGTGGATCGAGAAACATGTTGAGCTCTGCATATTTGTTACAATCAATGTTCATCACATTTCCTTGGTCATACTCATTGAAGTACTGTCCCCGTAAGTGTCCTCCGACCACAATTATTTCCTGCACAAAAATACCATATTTGAAAATACAACATCACTTTCAGATTGTTAGAATACCACTTGTGAGTTGTCCCACATCGTTTACACAAGGATACTAGGCCTAATTTATAACACTAGTGGGCTACTCCTCCCATCAACCAATTGGTTTTAAGATAGAACCTCATTTGGGCTTCACATGAGCTCTCTCTGTTATGGTGTGCTTCACGCGCATAAGACCACACCCGTTAGCCCCCGTTTCTTTCATAGATATACTTCAGTTAGTAAGAACTTATAGTTCTAGTCATGACTCACCTGAATGTGAGAAGACAGACTCTTGTCCAATTGAATAATTTGCGCGAGACTTGTCAATGGCCCATTGGTCAAGATGGTTACTCGGGATCCGATATCTAGGGATTTTATAACTGAATTCCACACTTCAAGAGCTAGTGGTTGTCTTAGTTCAGGGTGTTCGGTGTCTCGAGGAGCTCCATGTTTTACGGAATTTTCCGATGTGTACCTACAACAGACGCATCGTGACGACGACATTGAATAATAAAATAAAAGAATGGATAATTTAAAAAAGAAATTGATGAAAATTTTAAATTTTTTAACCTTCGAGGACTTCTAATCAAACAATGAGCAAACCCGTATAGTGTGTCTGAGTCGAGAAAGCCACCTGCGCCATGCGGGATGGCCCTCCTATACTTGCACCTTCCAATAGATGGGAAATAAGGATAGGTCTGGTTAGTTGCATATAAATCTCCAAGACCAACCAAAATATCATCACGCTTCATGATGTGCAACAAATCGTAGATAACGTTGATCGTTGCTGCATTTGCCCATCCAGTTGGCGTCACTATTATGGCCTATATATGCCAAAAATAAAATTAAATGCAAGTTAAGATGTTCAAACTTAATAATACATAATTTCATTCTACTCTCACTTCATATATATATAGTGCTCTCACAATGTTACTGTCACGATCATTCTATAGTACAAAATTTGAATTTAAAATGAAAATTCGCATAAAAGGTCCGTTTCTGATCGCATCTTGATCACACAGCGGACCATATTGGATGTAAAGTACATGTTTTGAATGTTTTCAAGGCAAAGTTGCTTTACTTTGAGATATAGTTCTTCAACTGGTACTTTGAGGAGATAAATTAGCGCTAAAATGTCTCCTGGACTCATATCCATGTCGAAAACAACAAGTTTTCCTAGTTTTCTTCCTTTAAAATCTGGTATATTGGTAACTTGATGATATTGAGGAAATTGTTTGTCATAATTGAACTTTCCTGTTTGATGTTGTCGATTCATGACCTGAAATTGAAATGATACAATAGAAAAAAAATAAAATAAAAAAGTAAGCATATTTTCAAATGCACATGGGTATCAATGAATTTTTTTTATATCAAAATTGTTAAATTTTGTACGAGATTATGGTTTTACTTACATCGAGAAATTGTTTGTAGAATGCTTTTTTTAGTTTACTAGTTTTATCAGGGTTCGGCTTCGCTCTCATAGCAACAAGAACACGCACTCCTTCTGGATCGGTAACTTCTGGTGTGTAGCCGTCCTGACAGTTTGAAAATATATATGTGAAACAAATTCATCAAGATGAACATTAATAACCAAACATAAACATGAAAACATATTTAACCTTGCACCCATTTCTAGCGATGCAAAATGGGTCTCCAAGTCCTGTTATAACATGGCCACTGTGGACTCCCTTTTTTGTCAATTTAAATTTCGATTTCTCACGGTTGTCAAAGAATGGATTTGAGCTGTCCGAGATCCCATACGGCTTGTTTGAAGTGACGACTGTGATGTTCTTGTACTCCATCTCCGCAAATTCATTACAGCCATTTGGGTTGTTGTGCTTGAGCATTATTGAAGTAGCTATGCCCGTTAAAAATGAGTCCCACATAAAAAAAATCTGCAATGTATTGTTGATTTACAATTATTTTGTTTTGTAAGTACGTAAAAGTCAATTTCAACGCTCAACAACTACTACCGATGATCAATTATTAAATAATAAATTACATTAATTTTTTTTAAGTCGTTTGGCTCACTCTTGCATTAGTATTTCACATCATTGAGATTGACATAATTTCATGGTCAACTTTTAGAAAATGTTTGAATGTTTCTACTTCGATCTTTAATCCAACGCTTGTCTTATATTTAAAATAGTTATTGTATTATAACCCTCAAAAAAAGAAATTCAAATAAAAGTGATCAGTTATTAAGAATATAGTTATTAAGACTTACATAATCATTAAAGGGTTGTGGTTCTTAAGTCATTCGTATCCTATAATACTATGTACCCTATCAATAAAGAGCTATGGAGAAAACTAAAGAGATCTCCAAAAAGATAACATACGTGTAAATATATGTGGTCTACCTCAATCAATCGCATATGGATTTAAGTGTGCTAATGCTAGCCAATTATGATTATCAGTTATTTTGTACGGGTGCTCATGGACTAAAGCGATGGTTTTCACCTAAAGTTTATTTTAACAAGTGGTACCAGAGTCTCTTTATGTTGAATATTTAAGAAATATTACGGTTCTCGATTATTTAATATGAATGTTGTTAGTGAGTATGCTGAAAGCTTAACATTATATATGTTATGAAAAAAATCCATTTTGATTGATATTAATATTTAGTCAAGTGTACTATTGCGTTTTTACTTAACTATGTGAACAAAATATTTTATTATACATTAGAGATAATATTGTTCATCGTGTTGAACAGAATATCAAATTAGCGGTACGTTGTAAAATATAAATATGGTTCACAACCTAGAGAAAATTAAACTAACCGTCAATAACGGTTATAGTGGTATTTTCGCATTAGTTGATCATGACTAATTGCTCTCGTACATTTATGATGTATTGAAGGAACGACAGAGGATAACCTCATTTTATATTGACCAAGTAATGAGTTAAAATTGGTTATTACTTGTATTCTTAATCCGTAAAATACATGTATATTTTGTCACTTATTTAAATTATCAATGAGCGAGATTTATTAAACCAATAACCTTGGCATTTTTCTAGGTAATGCCGAGTCTATGGTGTGCCACCGATTACTTAAGAAAAATGTATCCGGGTGCGTCAGGTTGATGACGTCCCCGAATTGAGCGCAAAATACTTATGTTGTTAAACCCTACGTGAGAATTAATTTTTAACATAATAATAAAGTTAAGTGGAATTATTTCGAAAATAAGAAGTTGATTAATTATGTTGTTGTTATATTAATAAATATACATTTTATCTTATTTATGGAAGATAAATCAAGAGAATATATTCAAAAGTCGAATTATATGTAATTTTGGGTTAAATAGGAAGTTCTGTAATATTCCTTTAGTGTAATAGAATATTATTCATATGTAGTAGGTGTGGGTGGACCATAATTTAAATTGTCTAATCATATATGGAGACCTTGTTTAACGTCCCTTTTAGGTTTTTGTTGTAGCCTAAAACTACATCAAGTCTCCCTTCACCTATTCATTGGATTCACACGCCCAAAACATGATAAAGAGAGAGAAAAAAAAAAGAAGAGTTTGAGAAGTNNNNAAACATGATAAAGAGAGAGAAAAAAAAAAAGAAGAGTTTGAGAAGTCTTAGGAAAAAGAGAGAAAGATAGTGCTTTCAACACAAGATCTTTTTCCTTGTTCCCAAAAGACCTATTACGTGAGGCTCAAGGTTGACTCTGGAAGAACTGCCCACCAGATGTGCTGGACAGATGTCAGAGCATAAGAAACAAGATGAAAGGGTGACTCATTCGTACAGTCCCACAACGTATTTAAAGAATTCACTGTTTGCAAAATTTTAAACCGTAAGTTTTTAATCCTAAGAATAGATCTGCTTCGCATAGAATTCAATTCTTAGTAGTTCGATTATGCATGTTGATGACTTTATCCACTGAACTGAACAATTTATATCAGTAGTAATATGAATTTGGGCATTAAACAAGAAATCCCAATTAATTTATTAAGACGATTTTTTTAAGAACATATACATATACATATATATATATATATATATATATATATATATATATATATATATGTATATATATATGTATATATATAGGGGGTGGAGCAAATGAGGCCAGCTCTTAAAATGCGGACAACTCTTAAATGCGGACAACTCTTAGCAACTACAGACAACTAACCTAGCAACTACAAGGATATAACCTAGCAACTGCAGAGAAGAAACCTAGCTACTACTAACCTAGCAACTACAGAGAACTAACCAAGCAACTACTAGCTTAGCAACTAAAGAGAATTAACTTAGCAACTACAAAGAACTAACCTAGCAACTACTGACCTAGCAACTACAGATAACTAACCTAGCAACTACAGAGAACTAACCTAGCAACTACATAGAACTAACCTAGCAACTACAGACAACTAACCTAGAAACTACAGAGAACTAACCTAGCAACTACAGAGAACTAACCTAGCAGCTACAGACAACTAACCTAGCAACTATAGAGAATTAACCTAGCTACTAGAGAGAACTAACCTAACAACTACTAACCTAGCAACTAGAGAGAACTACCCAAGCAACTACAAAGAACTACAAAGAACTAACTTAGCAACTACAGACAACTAACCTAGCAACTACAGAGAACTAACCTAGCAACTACAGACAACTAACCTAGCAACTATAGAGAACTAACCTAGCAACTACATAGAACTAACCTAGCAACTACATAGAACTAACCTAGCAACTATAGAAAACTAACCCAGCAACTACAGAGAACTAACTTAGCAACTACAGAAAACTAACTTAGTTAGAAGGTTAGTTGTCAACGGTTAACGTTGGAAGTCAACGGACAACGCCGGAAGCCAACGGTCAACGCCAGAGTCAACGGGCCAAAATAATATTTAAATAATTAAATAATAAGAAGAAAACAGTAAATCTTGGCTACACATGATGTACCAAATCTTGTGGCTAAAAATGAGTCTCACGTCCTCACTTTAAAAAAGTGGCCGCATTTGAACCATTCCCTATATATATATATATATATCCACTAGAAGACTAAGGGAAGTGGTCTTGATTTCATATTTATTACCAAGGGAAGTGGTCTTGGTTTTATATTTATTATAATTCATTGCTAAAATACTATTAGAATAATTTAGTGATCTATTTTTGTAGGAAGCTTAATTATCTTAATTGAAGATAAATGTGGATCAAAAGAATTACTAGGCATGGAGGATAGAGAGATGTACATTGACTGAATGAACCTACTTTGTTGGGTAAATGAGATGCGCGGGATTGATTGAGAGAACCTGTATACAAGTTTATGTTCTGAAAGAAGATTGACTATATTTGGAAATACTTAAGAACCTACTAACCTTGTATAATTTGTATTTAATTATCTTGGCTTTTGAGTTTATTGCGGTTGATTATCAATTTTTTAAGAAATATGAGCGGGAGTGAGGAACTGAAAAAAAAATAACGATCTCCTATTAGTTGTTTTATTCATTTTTTTTAAGTAAGTGTTAAATTTAGTGTCTTCAACTTTGATTTAAAGTACGCCTACATTGATCATCATCTAACTGCTTGGGATGAGAACTTTCACAAGTGCACGGGAGTATCTGTGTAGAAAATAATGTCCACGAGGAGTGGCAAGAAAAATAGTTAGATAATTGTGTATGACGTAGGTTAGGAAGAGCGAGTCTTTGCTGTAAATCCGTGTTGTACTTGGAAAAACACTTATATGAATGAAAGAGTTCCGAAGGAGAATGGGATGCTCTTTTGAAAGTTCAATTTTTGTTTGAATTACTTCCGCAATTTGAGTAAACATATATTGTTCACTATCTTAAGGTGCAATTTTGTGTTTTCCAAAATTTCAATTGGCACAAGAGCAAGTTTCCGTTCATTATATGATGATTATGTATACTTGTACTTGGGCAATCATGAATCACGATGGAGGGTCCATGTCAAGACCTCAGCAACTAGATGGCTTGAACTATTCTAACTGAAATTGGTGATGACTATCTTTCTCCGTTTCCTAGGAAAAGGAGCATGGAAAAGCATGGGGAAAGGCTATAAACATCCATCACTAAGAAGAGCACCAGTCAGTGGGCTCCAAGATGTATTTAATGAAGTATCCAATACTATAGATACGTGGACAATCAGGAACGCATGCAAGACGAGGCGATCTTTCGAGCCTCGTACGCAATTTTGATGGATGTTAAATAAACACGACATACATGATAAGTCAATACAAAACTGAAAATGATGTTTGGCTAAGACAAGAACGTATGTTCAAAGGATACAAGAAAGTTAAATCTTCCAAACTTCAGCGAGTGACTGGTCGTTGATGACATAAAAATGGAGGATGAAATGACCAACATGAACTATTCAAGGTTTTGCGATCTCGTAAATGAAAGTGCAATGTTGGGAGAAATATATCCGAAGCATGTCAAGTTCAAAAGATCATGAGAACACTTTCAACTCAATTTCGTGAAAAAAACACGGCTCTTGAAAGCATTCAAAAAGTCAAGTTTCTTGATTTTGATGACCTCTTTTGTGATCAAAGAAAGTTTTAGTTCAACAACAATTATGACAAAGCCAAAATAAAGGTTTTGCCTTGTAATCTACTGTAACTCCTCTTGCTGAAGTAAGTGAGGATGAAGGTTCATCGAAAGATGTAGAAGTCAGCGTTTGCCTTAATATCAAGAAACTACAGCAAAATGCGTCAAAAGTTGTATAAAAACAAGTTATATGGTAAGAAGTTTAATAATTTCATCAAGGGCTCCTCAAAAGAAAAAAAAGAACCAACACGTCTTCCCCCAAAAATTATAACCATAAAATTGAGAAGGATCAATGTAGAGAGTGTCGAGGGTACGGACACTTTTAGTTTGATTGTGCAAATTTGAACATCAAAATGAATCTCTGAACGCAACTTGGGATGACTCTGATGAATAATAAAATGAGGAACATACATTTCACACGAGCAATAAGGTGGTTCTTTCTAAAAACAATCTCTTATGAGTTGCATCTATCCACAATCTTCAAACTCTGAAGAAGGTAAAACTCCATCTCAAACTCTCAATTATGAATTTGATTATTCATGTGATCGTGTAGATCAGAAGGCATGTGTTGGTCGAGTGCACTTACTAGCAATGGAAAAAATAATGCTTACAAACTGCAATAGTGATGAAGAATTCACAAAGGTGGATCACATGAGGAGTTGGAGTATCTAAAGAAAGAAGTTCAGAACATGAGAAAAATCAATGGTTCACGCAATGATCAACTAACATACTCATTTACTCATCAGAAGGAAGTTGAAGTAAACGCTGCTCGTGCTCGAACTGTAATTATTGAGAATGTGTTGAAAGTGTCAACAGAAAAGTATGAAAATAAATCAGGTCATTGAATCACTAAGAAGTGAACTCTTTGCTTTGCAGGAAACCATGGGAAACAAGGGCAAACAAGTTACTGCTCTCAAGGGAGAACTCTTCAGGTGATGAATGAACACGTGAACTTAATAAATAGAGTCTCTCAATATGAGCAGAACTTGAAAGTCAAGACTGTTGAACCACAATGAACTTCACTGATTTTGAGTAAATTAAACAAAGGAAAAGCTAGCATGGATAAGCTACTTGATATGGGAAAACCATATGGTGACTTTAGCGGAATATGATACACTAGAACAAAATATGTCAATTCCAATATGCAGGTACCTTATCACATTTGAGTGATAGTTTATTTCGATCTCGAATGGCTTACCATGCTTGGCATTTTACCGTGAGTATAAGTTTTGTAGATCTCAAACGGTTTGGCCACGTTTGGTTTTTCACCATGAGTGATTATTTTATACTCGAATGGCCTAGTCATGTTCAGTATTTCATCTTGAGTGAATGTTTTGAAAAAAAAAAAGAAAAAAAGAAATTCCATCATAGTTACTTTTTCTTAAGGAGTTTTCTTGAGGGCGAACGATGTTCAACAGGTATGTTCCACTTGATCGCCCTTGGTAGTGGAAGAAAAGTGGGTTAACACATTATCTGGAGTATTTTAGCATCAAAAGATGGATTTACGATCACAATTGAAGTAGTTACTTTGTTGCTTCGGGAATTGGTCGGTACCGGACGTATGATCATACATTCTGTCTCTTTGGGCATTTGATAAGGATGTCTCAAAGTATCAGGTATAGTTTTAAGAGATCATCATGAACTGTTGTGATATGTAACTTTGATCTGTTTCTTGGGGTTTTACAAGATAGCTAAAATGCTTAGTCAGCCATGCTACTTAATCAGTCAAACTAGAAACTTATCATTGTTATGAAATACCCACGAAAAGTCATAATATTACACTCGCATGGAACACATGAATGTACAAATGAACAAGTGTATCTACATAATCATACTATTAGCTTTCTAACATTTTCTTAACAAGTTTCTATAGGCCCCGAATACGTTTTCTCGCAAAGTCTCACTAATCGAGCCTCTGTTACCTTTACGCCATAGTCAGCTTCCATGGTGTCGTTAGTGGAATCATTAGCATTTCACCAACATGCCAATATTTTGTTTTTAAAGCTTCTTTGTATACAACAGGTTCAATTTTCGTCAACCTAGTTTTGTGAGGCTTCTTGTCGTCGATTCGTTAACAACGGAGGCATCTTATGGTCTATGCTGACCTAGATGGCTGATCTCAACTCAAAGATTGAGGTTACTCATAGAGGTCTTTCTTATCAGGCCCTCGAGATTATAATCATTACCTAGCTTAGCGATCTGAACTCCTAACGATCATGATCAAGAAAAATAGAGTGACCACCTAACTGAACAGGTTGATCGATGAATTGAAAATTTCAAGACCTAAAGATAAGATTCGGAAAGGAATCGCAAAGGAATATCCTTCTCAGAGTCATCCATAGATTGTTCGGATACTCTATAGCCATTAGCATATTTTGATGGATTTCTCTACCTTCTTCATGTTCTTATCAAAGGTCAGCTAATCAACTAGTATTCTTGTTGAAGGTGAGCTAATTGATCCATATTCTTGTTGAAGGAGAGTTAATATAGAGATTGACGAATTGTCTAGAATTTGAACTTTTTGTGGTGAGAGGAGGCAAAAGATGATATTTTAGAAGATTTCTACAAGAGTAACTTGTTGGACAGAGTAATAGGATGAACAATGTTTCTCAGAGGCATGGTCGTGCCGCCCTTCCTTTTAGTTGAAACAACTAAGCAAGGTAAGTCATTCTTTCCTTGTCTAAAAGGTTATGATGTGTGTGGCTCTATGTAGGGTAGGATTCATTAGAAACTCTTAATGGTCGTCCTCCTTCTAGCGCTCTTTTGTTGACGGGAGCATGAACTACAATAATGAGGCGGCTTAATAGCAAAAATATGTGGATTAGAAGTATCATTTTTATACGCTTAGGGGCGGGGGGGGNNNGGGGGGGATTAATGTGTTTTACAACCTGCAAACTAATATTGAAGCATAGAAAGGAATCGCCGACTTAAAATAAGAGATCATCAGAGAAGTAACATTCATAGTTGAAGGGATTAATTTCTTAATAACTTACAGTTGAAAAATTATCAGTGAACCAAGTATCTCGGATCATTTTCAAGTTCTTGAAGCAAAACTGTGCTTCAAAGGTTTGCTGATTTTTCTCAAACTCTTCAAGGAATTCTGGTGTAATGGGCATAGTGTCTGTTGCATCCAACGGGACAAGAATAATTTTGATTCCGGAGTGAATAACCTGTTGTGAGATAAAAGAAAATCATATCAACTATTACTATGTCAATATGGGAATCTTTAGTCTATCGAAATTTGATATGAATTGCAACCCAACTCCTTCAAATATACTTGGTAGCTACATAAGATTTATTTATCTAACTTACAAAAGTTGATGTATTTGTACGGTTTTTCTATGAAGCCAAACCGTGTATCAGTTTTGCTATGAAGCCAACAGTTGGCTCCATTGTGGAGCCAACCTTTTATATACAACAAGTAAATCTACCACATTAATAAAATTATATTAGTGTTATTTAAGTAATCAAGGAATATGGCAGGTTTACTTGTTGTATATAGAAAGTTGGCTCCATTATGGAGCCAACTGTTGGCTTCATAGCAAAACCGTGTATTTGTATACACTTATTTTGATATAACGAGGTTTTTAAAGTAGTTAGAGTTTATCTCATACGATTTTCTATGTAGCTTTTCAAAAAGTTGAAAAAAACTTATTTCAACTAATCAAACACTTTTGTTTTATATGCTAGCTTTTCAATCATCAATCATACGAATGTGTTAGGTAAGCACCGTAAGACATCGTATAGTTTATTTCATTAACTAATAAGTTTCTTGTATTCAAATAATTTTGATTTGGTATAATAATTTTATAAAGCAATGTTTTGTCTCATAAGATTTTGTAGTAACATTCTCTAGGTAACTCTTCAAAAAAGCTCATAAAAAATTTTAGTTCAAATGAAATTTTAGATATTTTTATTACACTTTTATTATATTAGTTAACATATCAACCATAAGCTATCAACTATAAACTCAGAATTCACTTTCAAGCTATCAACTAATTTACAAGCTATCAGCTAATTTTTCATATAACTATCTACCAAACATACCTGTAAGTTCAAAATCACTTATAAACTATCTACTAACTATTTATTAAAAATTAAAAACTTTAGTTTATGTAAATAGCCCTTGAATTGCAGAAATTGCTCTCAATATCTAAATTTTACCTTCTGGTTTTTGCTTGTAGGTCAAAAAAATATTATGGTTTTTGGGTAAATATTAATATGGTTTTCTACCTTCTATTCTTCGGTAAAATTTTTTACTAATCCAATTAATCTTTGAATAATTGCATAATTCAATGATAAATTGTTGCAACTTGAATTCCAACAGTTACTCTAACGCGATAATTTCTATTAAAAATTCAAAGTGAATTTGCAAACAATGGAATATATAATAGATTTTTGTTGGAGATTGGCGATTAAACGAATATTATTTCACTTCTAAATTATATCGTCGGAGAGAAGCTCGGGAGGTGTTGTTGATTTTGGCCGGAAGAGAATGAAGATGAATATGCGCAAAGAACGAAGACAATTTAATATGGACTTGGATTATCAGTTTTCTTGTCCAACTTGTAATGTTACTTAATGGTCATAATAGTTGGATTTATTCATTTGGTATTTATTGTCTTTATTATGGAATATGTCTAATATTTAATTATTGGATGAGCATATTGGTTATTTAATGTGTATGATAATTAATTTATTGTAATTTGCTGCGCAGATAATTAATTAAGATCTCATTACTTATTTAATGTACACAATATTTATTTATGTGATGTGATGTGCACATTACTTATTTAATGTGCACGGTGATCATTATATTGCTTGTAAATTCCATATGCAATTATTTATGTTACATGCACATTAATAAAAGCCCTCAAAATAAAATACTAAGTGGGATACGACCTGCACTACTCGTTTGCTGGTTATGTAATTAATTGTGTGTCGGCTTAAAGTACCTTCCTCGATGACAAATAAATTGATTTGCAGATTATCGGAAAAAACTTCTTTCAAGATGTTTATAAAAAATTATAGTAGGAGCATGCACACCTCTCAAACTATGGGGCCCATAATTTTATATAATGGACTTCATACCAAGTAAATGGGATACACTTAGGATACGATAAAAGCATCCTCCCCAATGATGTCACTGAAATTCTGGATGGCCAAAGAACTAGTTTTTAGTTTTGTTCGTCAAGAAGTTCGGTTGACTTATGGAAATTAATGGGTGAAAATCTTTTTGGTGCTATTGTTGAATTCGGATACATCCACACTAACATGACATGCAGTATTCTCCATGGTCTGGGATGTTGGTGATTAATAAATATTGTTCGGAACGGATCAATATGAAGATTAAATTCAATATTTTGATTAGCATTTTTCATGATTCTCTAGTTTTCAAAATGTATTTTTTTTTCTTCCAGTTGTCCATATTACTATAGAGAAAGAAATTACTAGTTTGAAATTGATTGAAAATAGAACTTAGATAGTGTCCAAAATTGCTGAGAATGATAAGTTGAGAGGCAAGTGTATCTGGCTTAAGTCAAATTAGACGGAGGGAAACAAACCTTTCTATTCTTAAGAAAAGAAATGCATATCTAGTTCAATAGAAAGTCAAAACATTTTTAGTGGCGTTATCTATTAGTACCTGGTGAGTAGATACAACCACCATTAATTTTGCAAAACGACTCTAGGAAAGTAAAAGACTAAATGATAAAAGATTACCATTTAGAATGGAATATTGCTACGAATATGGCGGTTGATCCAATGGAACTAGTTTGTCCAATAGATTTTTTTTTTTCTGAGAAATTGTTTTTACGAACCATATTTAAAAAGAATTCATTAGTTTTTAAATTGTATATGATTGGATATTATGTTATTAGATGGATAATATTATGTTGAGAAATAGAACTTTTTATTTATTATGGTACATGCGCAGATAATTTGTGTACTCGGGAACCAAATTTTTTCTAGATTTTGCAACAAATAGAAAGTTTGTAACAAAGAAACTAAAAATAATAAGAAAAAAAAGTTCATTTAAGAAATGATTCGTACATATTTTTGTGTCTATGATTTGATACTTTTATGTATAGTAAGATTCAAAGGTAGATAACCAAAGGACTTCTAGGTAAGTTGGAAACGGATTAAACGATTAAACCTAAGAGTTTTACTTAGTAGCTTAAATGAACAAAATAGCTTTTTGAAGGCCAAGGGGTATATAAGCCAAATAAATATTAGGATAGGTTCCATTTGAACAAAATAGCTTTTTGAACCTATGATTATTTTGACAAGAAGTATTTTTGAATATTTTTTCTTCGCAAATAAAATTATTCAGAACAAGGATGCATTTAAGTGATGCATCTCTAGCATGTGCCCTTTGAGGAATTAAAAGAGAACAAGGAAGCTGTAAAGAAGTTTCAAGATAAATCTATCAATGGAACTACGATTTGATCTTTGGGACTAATACGTTTTAGGAAAGTATAAAATTTACTTATCGGGTGATGGAATTTTACCAAATCATAAATCATAGCTTTTACATTGTTGTTGAATACAAGCTAGATGACTCCCCTCCTACCTGGGGCATATTTGTGTATCTTAGTACTTGCTACCACACCAGACTCACTCAATGGGCAGAGTTGCTTTCAGCTCAGTCTTCATGGGGAAATCATTGGCATATTCTGGGAGATTGGAACGACATTTGCACCAGTGATAAAAAGATGGGGGTGTACCCAGATTCTTTGCTAGCACGGCAGGCTTCAATTCCTTTATTGATAGAATGGAAATGGAGAAGTTGGGTACAAATTCACATGGTGCAAATAACAGATTCTCAGAAGGGCTAGGAGAAGAGAAACTTAACAGAGGTTTTGCATCTGCAAGTTGGCTGAACTCTCATCCCCAGGCTTCTATTTCAATATAGCCAAGTCTTCCTCAAACCACTCAATGTTACTTCTTCAGTCAGGGAATAAGAAGGAAAGAAAAAAGAGCAGGTTCCATTTTGACAAGAGATGGCTCTCAAAGGAAGGAATCAAAGAAGTGGTTCAAGTAGCCTGGAACATTCAGCACTCTGGAACTCCCTTCTTCATTCTCAAAGAAAAAATCAAGGCTACGAGACAGGCTTTACTAATCTGGAGTGCCAACTTCAAATCTCAGAATCAGTCTACCATTGATAATCTCACAAAAAAATTGAACTCCTTGCAGCATTATGAAAGTATTGATAACTGGGAAGATTGGATTGATACTAAAAAAAGAGTTGGACACAGCTTACAGAAATGAAGAGCTCCATTGGCAGCAAAAGGCCAAACTTCAGTGGCTGAAAGAAGGAGATAGCAACACCAAGTTCTTCCATGCTTACAGAACGGTGAGAAGAAGACAAAATGCTATAACTAGGCTTCTCACCCCCCAGAACTCTGTGTGTGACTCTCAACTTGCTATCCAGAAGCACATTGCCCAATTTTACTCTGACTTGTTTACTGCTGATGGGCCTTGAGGAGGTGATTCAATCCTTTCACTTATTTCTCCCACTATTACAGCTGACATGAATCAATTGCTGATCCAAAAAGTAACAGAAAAGGACATCAAGTCAGCTCTTTTTAGTCTTCAACCAGAGAAGTCACATGGGGAGGATGATATGACTGCACTTTTTTACCAATAGTTCTGGGATGTTATAAAATCTGATTTGGTGTCTGTTGTTTCCAGTTTCTTTAATAATAAAGGTCTTCTCCTCAAATACTGGAACCACACCATTGTTTCCCTCATTCCAAAATGTAATAACCCAGATTATGTGACTCAGTTCAGACCAATCAGTCTTTGCACAGTTGTATACAAGGTTCTGTCTAAAATCATTGCTATTAGACTACAAAAAATGTTTGGAAGTGTGCATTAGTGACTCTCAATCTGCATTCATTAAGGGCAGACAACTCATGGATAATGTGATAATTGGTCAAGAGGTCTTTCACCATCTGAATAGGCACAACTCTGTTCATAACTGCTTCATGGCTTTAAAGCTCGATTTAATGAAGGCATTTAACAGGGTTGAGTGGATCTGTATTAGGAAAATCATGTTGAAGATAGGATTTCATGCTGATTTTGTTAATTTGATTATGATTTATATATCTTCATCCTCATTCTCATTTAAAGTCAATGGAGCAGTCAGTGGTTATGTACTTCCAACAAGGGGAATTAGACAAGGGATCCCATATCCCCTTATCTATTCATTATTGTAGCTGAAATGCTGTCTGCTCTGATCTCCCAAGTTGTTAACTCTAGCCACCTCACTGCCCTTAAGCTCTCATCAAATGGACCTGCCATCTCCCACTTACTCTTTGCAGATGACTCCTTAGTCTTCTGCAAAGCCTCTATTGATCAAGCTAACTCTCTCATTTGTATTTTAGAAAGATACAGGCTTTTCACTGCTAAGTCAGTAAATATGAGCAAATATTCAATCTTTTTCAGTAGGAAAACCCCAGTCTACCTCAAGAACAACATTTGTGCTACTCTGCATGGGATTAACTGTCATAGATCCACAAGATACTTGGGCCTTCCTCTTGGAATTGGCAGATCAAAAACTGGATACATTTCAGTACATTCTAGATTCAGTGCAAGGTAAAATTCAGGTTGGAGAGCCAAACTTCTGAGCCAAGAAAAAAAAGTTGTTCTTATCAAGGCTGTGCTACAAGCTCTCCCTATGTTCACAATGTCATGTTTCTTGCTTCCAAAAACATTGTGTGCCAGCATTATCAAATTGTGCTCTAACTTTTGGTGGAGTTTAGTGAAGATCAGACCAAAGTCATCCACTGAAAAGCTTGGAACTTTCTCTCTCTGCCTAAAGGGAAAGGGGGGCTTGGTTTTATGGATCTCCATCTTTTTAACACGGCTTTGATCTGTAAGCAACTCTGGAGGATTTACACTCAACCCAACTTACTTGTCAGCAGGATCTTGAAGGAAAAATATTTTCCCAACTGCTCCATTTTTTAGGCTGTCAAATCTTAGAGCTGCTCTTGGCTATGGTCTAACTGGCTGAAGGTTCTGCCTACATTTGCTGAAGGGTATGTAGTAGAAATTAAGAATAGTGCAACCACTAGATTGGAGGATGTCAACTGGGTGGCCAACTTATTGCAGCCTAAACCTGAGGTTATGAACTTGGCTAGAGGCCACCTAATCTGGGTGAAGGATGTTCTCAATGCCTCTGGGATAGGATGGAATGAATGGTTGGTCAAGCAAGTGTCTAATGCACAGGACAGTGAAGCCATTCTTGAAATCAATACTCTAAAGGCAGACAAGGATGACAGAAAGTACTTGTTGTTCAACAAGAAAGGTGAATTTTCAGTGGCTAGCACTTATTCTTTCTTGTCCCATCATAAACTGCTTGCAATGGATTTACCTGGTTGTAGCTCAATTGTTGGCCCATCACTTGCTAAGATCAAGCAGAGACTTTGGAAACTCAAGGTGGTTAGTAAAGTAAAACTTTTTATCCGGAAGTGCATTTCTGAAGCACTCCCAGTTAAAGTCAATCTCATTAAGAGAGGCCTGGAAGTGGATGCTATCTGCAGCATTTGTGGTGAGAAGCCAGAATCGATCACTTATGTTCTGTTTTTCATGCAAAAGAGCTGCTAATATGTGGAAGCTATCTCAAGTGTCTTGGAGTAGACTCCCTGATCAGAATCTATCCTTCAGAGGCTGGTGGCATGATATCTGTTCTCTTGATGCATCAGAGACATCAGATGCTCGAATTCAACTGACAACTTACATCCTCTGGTGGCTCTGGAAGTCTCGCAACCTCTGCATTTTCCAAGATGTTCTCATGCCTATCACAGTCACATTGAAGATTGCTCACCAAGACTGGATGGCTTTTGCTGATTTATAGTTTTTTCTTGCTCTTTGGTTTGTTCTTTTATTGTTCTTTCTTTCTGTGTTCTCTTAGTTTGGTAGTCTGGTTTCTGTCTTCAGCTCTCTTGGTTGGTTTCTTCTCTAGGTCCTTGGGCAGTGGAGTTTTCTTGTTGTTGTGTTTCTAGTTATGGATTGGTTGAGGTTCTAGGTCGCTTTATGCGTGTCCTTTCATTTTTCTTGTTTCGGTGCTGTTTTGTATTATTCGAACTTGGTTCGTTTTGAGTTGTAATATCTTTATGGTTTCGTTAAAAAAAAAAGACTTTTAAAAGTCTTGAGAAGTCTAAATCAAATACACCAGGATTTCTAAAGTCCTAAAAAGTTTTTAAAAGTCTTTATAAATCCCAATTAAAACTTTGGTGGATTTTTTGAAATTTTTTAACGACTTTGGTGGATATTTGAGACTTCCATAGCAAAATCTCATCAATTAGATAAGGTTTCCATTGCGTCTTTGCTTTTATATTTTATTAAAAAAAGTCTCCAAAAGTATTGCTATTTAAAAAGTCTTATAAAGTATGTATACTTTGATTATCGAGTGACTTATTAATACTCTTAGAAAGTTTCAATTGAATACACTGATATTTTTGGAGATTTATAAAAAATCTTTAAGTCTCACACATGCAGACTTTTTAAAATTCTCATAAAGTTCTAATTGAATACACCAGAATTATTTAATTGAATATAAGTGAATATATTGAGACTTTTAAAAGATTTAAAAAAATCCAAATTAAATACTATCATGGTTTATGAAATATTAAAAAGTATCTGGAATTACCAAACCAAATCAAAATTGGAATTATCAAAGCTATAAGTCTAAAATTGGGCAACCAATAATATATTTGTGAAGGTTAAAATTTCAGGAGTTTAAACAAAGAAGAAATATTAAACTTATAGCAGCACCTGATAAGCAGCAAAGGGGTCAGTGAAAATATTGTACTCTGCATCTGGAGCCGTATTGTCACCCGTATACACATTGCCAGTAGGGCATGATAATGATGAAGTGGGGCAGTTTGCGGTCCTGGGCCTCAGCCCACCGCCCAATATGTATATGGCCTCGATGTTTTTCTTCAATTGTGGGCTGGTCATTAGGAATATTGCCAAATTGGTTGCTGGGCCAGTAACAAATATTGTTGTTGGGCCTGCGGATATCGTGTCTATCATCACTTGTTGAGTCGTAGGTTGTTCAAGAGGGACATATCGTCTATAGCCCTGATTAAAATTAAGCCAATAAATCAAAATTGAAAAAAAAAATTAAAAATAAATAAATAAATAAATTAGCTGTAGTGTTATTGAACACCCACCCCACAATCTCAAATTACACACAATTATCCACACCTCTAAAATATCAATTAATTAGCTATATTATCTGAAATTTAATTAATTAACTAATTAGTTGATTTATGCACATGCGCAAACGTAAATAAAGTGTTATATATTTACAATATGATACTGAATTATAATTTGAATAATAAATATATCAAATTTTACAAATTTGATCATTACTATACGAAAAATTCTTAGAAATATATTATAGTACGACTTCCTTTGATACTGATACAATGCTTTTGTACTATATACCTGCGGAAGAAAGCTTTTCGTATAACCATATTTCGTGTCGATATCTAATCTTCCTTTCATCCCTAAAGGAATAACTTGGCTATATCTGCAATATCCCGTTGTACCATAGTCCTGAAATCGAATTACAGTATTATTTTGTCATAAGAATTTTGACAAAAACCGTAACAGTTAAAAAAAAAAAAAA